ACCCCAACCCCCCCTGCTGTGAGCAGGGACAGCTTTAACCAGAGCAGGCTGATCAGAGTTCCATCCAACCGGGCCTGGGATGTTTCCAGGGAGGGGGCCTCCACTGCCTCTCTGGGCAACCTGTTCCAGTGCTTCACCACCCTCACTGTAAAAACTTTCTTCCTTATATCCAGTCTAAATATATCCCCCTTTAGTTTAAAACCATTAGTCCTTGTCCTGTCACAACAGGCCTTGCTAAAAAGATTGTCCCCATCTTTTCTACAGCCCCCCCTTTAAGTGAAAGGCCACAATAAGGACTCCCTGGAGCCTTCTCTTCTCCAGGCTGAACAACCCCAACTCTCCTGGCCTGTCGTAGGAGAGGTGCTCCAGCCCTTGGATCATTTTTGTGGCCTCCTCTGGACCTGCTCCGTGTGCTTCTTGTGCTGAGGGCTCCAGGTGAGGTCTCACGAGAGCAGAGTAGAGGGGCAGAATCACCTCCCTCGACCTGCTGGCCACGCTGCTTTTGATGCAGCCCAGGATATGGCTGGCTTTCTGGGCTGCAGGCACACATTGCTGGCTCATGTCCAGCTTTTCATCCACCAGTACCCCCAAGTCCTTCTCCGCAGGGCTGCTCTCAATCCCTTCGTCCCCCAGCCTGGATTGATATCCAAGGCTGCCCCATCCCAGGTGCAGGACCTTGCACTTGGCCTTGTTGAACGTCATGATGTTCACACAGGCCCACCTCTCCAGCTTGTCCAGGTCCCTTTGGATGACATCTCGTCCTTCTGGCGTGTCAGCCACACCACTGAGCTTGGTGTCATCTGCAAACTTGCTGAGGGTGCTCTCAGTCCCACTGTCTATGTTATTAATGAAGATACTAAACAGCACTGGTCCCAGTACGGACCCCCGAAGGGACACCACTTGTCATCGGTCTTCATTCAGACATCAAGCCGTTGACCACTACTCTCTGGATGTGACCATCTAACCAATTCCTTACCCACCAAACAGTCCACCCATCAAATCCATATCTCTCCAGTTTAGAGAAAAGGATGTTGTGGGAGACAGTGTGAAAGGCTTTACAGAAGTCCAGATAGATGACATCTGTTGCTTTTCCCTTGTTGACCGATGCAGTCACTCCTTCATAGAAAGCCACTAGGTTGGTCAGCTAGGACTTGCCCTTGGTGAATCCATGCTGGCTGTCTTGAATCACCTCTGTGTTCTATGTGCTTGAGCATAGCAAGCATCCATCCTAGAAGGAGGATCTGTTCCATGATCTTCCCAGGCACAGAGGTGAGGCTGACAGGTCGGTAGTTCCCAGGGTCCTCCTTTCTTCCCTTCTTAAAAATGGGCACAATGTTTCCTTTCTTCCAGTCACCAGGGACTTCACCTGACTGCCAGGACTTTTCAAACATTATGGAGAGTGGCTTGGCAACTACATCAGCCAATTCCCTCAGGACTCTGGGATGCATCTCATCAGGTCCCATAGACTTATGTACATTCAGGTTCCTCAGGTAGTCTTGAACCTGATCTTCCCTTACAGTGGGAGGGGCTTTACCCCCCTGGTCCCCATCTTGCGGTCCATCGATTCAGAAGGGGTGAGGAGAGAGGTTGCCAGTGAAGACTGAGGCAAAAAAGTTGAGTACCTCAGCCTTCTCCTTGTGTCTTGATACTAGGTCAGCATTCTTGTTATCAGGGGGGGTATGCTTTCTTTAACCTTCTTTTTCTGGTTGACATACCTGTAGAAGCCCTTTTTGTTATTCTTTACATCCCTTGCCAAATTCAGCTCCAGCTGTGCCTTGGGCCTTCCTGACTCTATCCCCACACAACCAGGCAGCTTCCCTGTACTCTTCCCAGGATCCCTGTCCCTGCTTCCACTGGCTGTGCAGTTCCCTCTTTAGTTTGACCAGCAGGTCTCAACTCAGCCATGCTGGTCTATTCCCTTCCTTGCCTGATTTCTTACACTTGGGGATTGAGAGCTCTTGCCCCTATGGAAGGTGTCCTTAAAGATCTGCCACCTCTGCCTGAGGACTGTCTCCCGGGGGGTCTTTCTGACTAACTCCTTGAAGAGCTGGAATTTTGCTCTCCTATAATTTAGGGTCCTGACTATACTCCTTGCCTTTCCCATATCCCTCAGGAGTGTGAACTCCACCAATGCGTGATCACTGCAGCACAGGCTGCCTCCAATCTTGATGTCACTGATGAGCTCGCTTGCATTGGTGACCATCAGGTCCAGTATTGCATCCGCTTGGGTAGGGGTGTCTATTACCTGTCTTAGAATGCATTGAGGATAACTTCCTATATTCTACTCTATATTTTAACTTCCCTTTGTTCTTTCTGTATCATTATTTTTCATGATTAACAAGAGGTTTGAATTGTTTATATTAGCAACAGCTGATTAAAGTAGCTGTTGCTTGAATACAGCCTATTCTGTAAAGTGGAACAGATCTGGTGAACAAAATGTATTAAAAATAGTGTTATAATAGTAAAAGCACTTCATAATTGCCATTTATGGTGTAAAATACTTGGCTTATAACCAAGCTAATGCCCCGTTTTGATACACGGATAGGTACTACCTTTAAGTAGGCTTTCTAGAACTTCCATGGTATTTGTCTCTCCTCTAATCACTTCTATTTTTAACATCATGCTTTGGAGTCTGATTGTTCAGAATCAGCACTTCTGGACAAAGAGGACAGGAGACTGGCTTTTTCACATCTCTTGACCTTTTTGGACCTGGGTGTTAATTTTCAAAAGGAAAACAGATGCCTGCAAGTGTAGAGAAGGAATGGGAAGTTTTAGATACTGTTGCCTGTATGTAAATATTTTGCTAAGCTGTCCAAAGTGGAAGATGGTCCCAAAGAACACTAATATTGAGAAGGGAACAGAATTAACATATGTGAACTTCTTGTGCCATTCTGTAGCTGAAAGGTATGGTATGAACTCTGGGTATTAAAAGGAGACATAGTGTTTTGGTCATGTATTTGTGAGACCATTTCCTTTGATACAATAAACGTGCATTTCTTTTATAAACATGCTGAGAACAAAGTGCCTTTTCTTTTAATTTTCTTTTTTTTTTAAGATTGCAAAGGTGGATTGCAAAGAAGTACTGGACATCATTTGTAATCTGGAATCGGAGGGACAAGAAAACACTGCTTTTATTCTTTGTACAACATACCTTACTCATCAGCTTCAAACAGCAAATGTGTATTGCTCTTGGTAAGTAATAAGTATTACTGCTGCTTCTAACTTCCTTAATGGCTTCAATGCAAGAGAATTGAGCTTATATAGTACAAAAATATGTAGAGAAAGTGGATGTATCTTTAACTTGAGAAGTACATCAGACTGAAGTACTTTCTAGATAACTAGTGACAAAATAAATAAGGACTCATTTTGCTACAGTAATAGAACAGGCTTCAGTGATGTAGCATTTATTGTTACAGAATAGTATCTTTTTTGTGACAATAACTGTGGGTAGATTTTTGGTTGCAATACAAAGTCAGAACTGAAACTAGTTAGATAAATGATACTTTCAGGTCCTGTAGCTCTGTCTAATGTACATATGCTCCCGAGTAATGAGTCAGGAGAGATCAATTAGAGCTGTAGACTTCTCATCTCCATGCCAGGGTGGCCCGTGATGGGGCCTGCCTAAGGCCAAGTCTACCCAGAACATAGTGCAGCTGTAACGTGAGTAGGTACTTCCACATCAGCTTTAAAAATGGCTAGCCTAGGTGACAAGCAGTGAAGGCTTGAGGAGACAAATGTTAGCAGTCTAGCAACACAGCTATGTTCCTACTTACAGAGAGGCGTTAACAGGTTTGTGTCACTTGTGCTGAAGTCATGTCACTATGTCTGCACTGTTAGTGGTTGTTCAAATGAAAGGTGCTGGTTCAAATTGTGCTGCTATGTCCATGTATGCCACGGTTGCCCCCTCTGCTGCTGTCTGGACAAACTCCTCAAGTTCCAGCTGCTTTCCCCCAGGGACAAGAAAGGAAAATTAAGTCTTCTGTCTAACACTGGAATTGTATAGGTGTATAAATTCAAAATCTAATAGGTTTTAAGGGGCAGCAGTTGCTTAATTTACTTCAAAGAAGGTCCTGTCTGGTTCAAAAAGACAGGATTGTAGTTGAAATGTTATTTTACTCTCTGATGTTTGATGTACTGATGACTTGGACTCTACTTACAATTTTTCTAGCAATGTCATTAACACCTTTTGGATTTTGATTGTTGATAATAAAGTGTAACCTTTTTGTTGTGTGTATTTAATCATAAGCCTGCATAATGGTATTTCAAATCAATAAATGATTTAAGATTTAATCAGTTTTCATATGTACTTCTGGTGCATTATGTAATCTGATAGACCAGAGCTGAGTGGTGACTAAAACATTTACTAAAGATCTTTGAGAGGAGAGCAGGGAGTAAGAACTGGTACAGTGCAATTTGCAGGTCAGCTTCCCTTTGTGCTGTTGTGGATTTGGTTCAATAGACAAGCCCTAGCATATGTACTTGGAAATGTTCCAGTTACCTGTAGGATCCTTAAATGAAATTGTTTCCTGCAGAATTTTGTGGATCACATCCTTTTTGATTTTTAGAGTAGTGGTACACTGATGAAACATTTTCTGCTAGCCCCTGGCTGGCCTGTAACAGACACCATAAGCTAGCAGTGTTGTCTAATGCAATCCTGCATGCTGCCAGCCACCTGCTGGCCATTATTTTGCTCCATGTCTTGCTTTATGCAGTGTCAGAGTAAACCAGCATAAGTGATCCAGATTGAAAGTATTCTGGTTTAGACAAAGGAAAGGACCTGTTGACCGCTGTTAACAGCAGTTGAAAATGAGGATGCTTTTGAGACTTATTAGAGTGCATGATTGTTTTACATAGTGGATGAAGATGGAGCTTTGGTGCCATACTCATACTTGAGCCAGTCCTAATAATTTGCCGCTGCCAAAAAGCAGAAGAGAATTCTTGTCATATTGTGGTGCTAGCTGCACAAGTCTTCCTTGTCTGTTGTTCTGGCTCGGGGCCCATCTGATGTGTAGCGAGCATGTTCATTTAACCTAGCCAAAACTGTGTATAGCTTTTTACAGATTAATGCTTGATTAGTTTACTGTGTGGTCAGACAAGTACCAGCAAAGAAGTGCAACACTGGTGCTTCTGGAAGTTGTAAGCTGTTAAATCTGTTCAGGTGTAACATCACTCTCAGTCTAGAAAGGAAAAATCTACCTCCCTTCCCTCCTGTCTTTCAGTGCTCTAGCATCTGCCTGATGGCACAGTGCTAACTCTCCAACCCAGCACACACCTCTCATTATTCTTGCATATTTGGAGAGGTTAAGCTATTTCATTAGCTTAGCTCAGCTCATCCTGTAGCCTCAAGTCTGTACCCCCAAGAAAAGATTAGTAAACCACATATCTATGTAAATTAGTGCTGTTGCTGTGAAGCTTCATTTCACAGCTGAAGATGAAAGCAAACTTAGGTTTGTGTATGTTATTCCTCACCAAAATTGGAAGATTTTGCAATGATTATTGCTGATAATCATAAAATAATGTGTAACGGTAATAGTAGAGGTATCTGCTGTGTTTGGAACTTTATCTAAGAAGTAGTGCTGCTCTGGGCAGTAGTTCTGAGCTAGCTGATTGCCTTAGTCTCCAAGGAGTCAGGCAATTCATCAATCCATAAAATAATGTAATCTTTAGCATTAACACTGTGGCATTAAGTATGAACTGTAGCTAAGCACAACTTCAAAAGCCTTCTCTCTGGTCTGATATGCTAGTAAGATTTTTTCCTTCTAAGTATTCCTAGATAGCTGTCTGTCTGGAGTTCTCTCTATTCTCTGCACTGCCTCACATCAATTTTGAAATGGAAAATTGCCCAGATGCTGAGTTGTCCTTTCTTGCCTTTCCATATGTGTGAAGATTATCTGAGGAACACTTCTACATCATCATCCTTGAGGACCCGTTCCAACAATGTACTTTAGCTTTGCAGAAAGAAGGGGTGGGATGAGAAAGAGAACAGGGCAAACACTGAAAACTTTTTGCTCTGCTAGAACTCTTAGGAATAAGGGATTATCCAGAGTGAAGCCCGCCTCTCACTATTCTTCCAAGTCCCAACTGTGTAAATGTACTGAATAGATATACAAAATGACTGATGTCTTGATAAACTATTTTTCAAATTTGTTTTGTTTCTGTTGTGGTGATGCTAAGTTAAAATTTTTTGTAATACTTTTTTCATATATATATATTCTGTGCCTTCCTTGTGTAAGCTTCCTTTCATACAGTTCTTCCATGTTAGTCATCCTGATGCTCAATTAAATTTTACATTTTGTCAGCTTCTTGGGGCTACAGGGCAGTAGAAAAAGTTGCTGATATTCTGGGTGTCTACCTTCTTTTCCTCTCTAGTTCTGTTTTAGGATTTAAAATTAAAACACCTTGAATTCTACTGCTTATATATTAGTTTCTTGTAGGCCTATGTAGCTTCTCAGCTGTCTCTTCCTGACTATGCAAGGCTGTTAATTGTGTTTCTAGGCCTTTAAATAAAACAAACAAAAAAATGCAAACAAACAAAAAAATGCAAACAAACAAAACCCCCCAAAAACTGTTGCCAGTAAATATTGTCCATTTTTGTGCAACAAATGTATCTGAGGTCAGATCCATAACAAGGTCTCATTCCCTTTCACTTGGCTTAGGGTTCAGGAGTAGGATTGCAATAATTCAACGGAAAAACCTTGCCAATATTCAGTGTAAAGTTTGCCTAGGTCTGTAGTCTTGATTTTTGGTTCTAGAGGCTATCACTGACCTTGCATCTAGAAACCTTTATGTATAATTTGATGTACAGAGTGGTTAAGTCAGCAAAGGTGAGGTTTGCTCTACTAAAGGAATAGCAGAAAAACTTTTTTCAAGTGATTAAAAGATACAGATCCTATCACTGCTGCTTTTCCATTTCTGTGGCGCTCATTGTGATGGCAAAGCAACACAAAGTGACAGATTGCGTCATTCAGTGGCTGCGTTGCCTTGGTTATAATAAATTGCTTAACAGAACAGCCCTGTGCTCAGATGGTACAAGCAGTAAAGCAGATGACTGCTCAAAGACGGTAGACAAGGGATATGTAAGCTGAGGGCTTTATGTAACACTTTTTGTAAAGTGTGTTCTGTTAGAGGTATCTTTTAAAGCACTGAGTGGCAGTTACATCATTTGAATGCAGGTGTCAACCTCTAAGCTACTTGCCTAGCAGGAGAGAAGTGGCTGCTTTACATCATGATTCATCTGACCTATTTTAAATTTCTATGTGAAAAGTTAAGGCTCTGCAAGTGTTGGGGTTTCTTCCTTGTCTGGAAAAGAAGTCTATGCAGCTATAGATGCCTACATTAAGCAAGATGAATCCCATTGCCAGTGTCTTTGCCCATTAAATAACAGGAGATATACTGTGTTTTGATCTGATGCTTGTTTAAGAGTAAGGCACACTAACAGATCTCTTCAGTGTCTCTCTGAGATAGAGACCTGATTGAAGTATGTGCTGTTTTTTAATAACACTTGAATTGTTGTGGCATCAACTTTGAACTAAAGTGCATAGACTCTGGACAGATGATATATATATCTGCAATGTTCTTACATTCTGCTTCAACTCTTTGCAGGGAACTGACACTTTTCTGGAGCAAACTGCAGAGAAGAATAGATCCTTCTTTAGATTCCTTTTTGGAGAGATGTCGTCAGTTTGGCATCATTGCCAAAACACTACAGCATTTATTTTTCTTGATAAGAGTCATACAATCTGAAGTAAGTAAGCTGCAATCCAGAGTCTTTGGACACAGCCAGAACTGTTTACGTGAATTTATTGTTTTCTTAATAATCCTACTGAAATGATATGAAATACAGCTTATTTCATTAGTCATACTTTCTGATTAAGTGCCTAATAACTTAATAAAATACCTGAAAAATGCTTGCCATTGTAGTTTTGTGTCAGCTTGACACATTGATTGAAGGTCACTCAGTGTGGAATGGTTTGTTTGTTACTCTGAAAATACAGTATGACAGTATTTTGCAAACAAAGCGTAGCTGTGTTTTGATCTGATGCCTTTTTATAGGCAAGGCACAGCAACAATTTTCTGCAGCATCTCTAAGAGATGGAGACTTGGCTGAAATGTCTCATATTTTTGTATTTTGAGAAAATACCTTTTCCTCAAAATGTGTGATACAATCACATCTGGACTTCTACCTTCTATTCTGATGCCTATCTTTAGAAAGTTGCAGAAAGGTTCAAGAGATGCTTAACAGCAATTTTGATAAACTTGTGATCTCTGAGTAGTAATGGAAAGACTTTAATTGATCCATCTACCTAGGAGGCAAATGTAGCACGCTCTTCATAAGCAGAGCAGAAAGGATATAGCTATGGTTAATCTGGGTAGTTGTTCAATAGGATGTTTCTGTCTTCCTTTGGCTACTCTGACTCTTGGAATTGGTTAGACTGAAATTTCCTGTGTTTGGTCACCATATGAGAGTAGATTTGTGGAGGGCAATTATGAATGAAAATGAGTCAGGGACACTTTAATGGAGGAAAAATAAGCTAGGTGATAATAACATGATTTTAGCTGTGTTAGTAACAGTATTACATGGATCATAGACCTTAAATTAGATATGGGATTCTCCCTTAGGAATGTCACCATTTCCAAAAGATTTCAGATATTTCTTCCTGAAAAACAGCATAGTTTTGCACATGTAGAATAGAATTTGCCACGTGAACTTCAGTTTTATGAATGTTTTAATTAACAGTACCCTCCCAAATTTGCTCATCTTTTTGCATTCTTATATGGACATGAGTTAATTCAGAGTTAAGGCATCAAATATATTATGGATGAAACAGACAAGGTTCCTTTTTTTTTTTTTTCAATTAAATTTCTCTCCAGCTTCAAGTTTGTTTGTCTGGGTGTCTCTTTCACTGACTAGAGTTAATCCTGTGAACCAAATGAGTTATCAAATGTGATTTGGTAAGAGAAGAACAAGTATTAGAGCCCTGTTTTGGAGTTAAAGTAGAGATCAGAAAGGTTACATGATTGTCCTTTTGACAAATCATAGAGGAGAGTCCAGAACTCTAATTTGGCAAAGATGAGTTCCGGTAGTGATTGCACAGAGAAATGTTTGCTTCTAGTTTGTCTAAAGTTGGCCTATTTCTACTTTTAAAACATGTGTGAATGTGCACTTTATATATAAGCATAATACATTGCTAACTATATACCAGTTCTTTCTGTGTTTCCTGCTAAACCATATTAAAATTTCTTCTCCTGGGGAAATACCTTTTTTTTATTGCTGTCTAGCAAATTAACACTGTTACTGAATTAAAGAAGTATTGCGTGACTTCCAGTAGGTGGTGCACAGTGTGTATAAGAGCTTGCTAATTCATTTAACGTGTTCTTAGTTCTTTTGGATCTTTACCATCTGAGCTGGGGTGGATGTGGTTGTGTTAGCCACATGTCATCTCTCTACACTACTCATATCTTGACTGTTACTTATCTTTACTAATAATGACTAAATAGTCATTATTATGCATTCAGATTCTTTATGCTGAAAAGTATGCTTTTGGAACAAGGTAACTTTCAATTTTGTCCATGTAGAATTTGAAAGATATTTTTTAAAATCAGCATGTGTATAATATTTGTAGGTATCTTTCTGATACTATTGAGCAGCACCTCAAAGTTGCATAGACTCCTCAGAAAATGTTTGGAAGTGAAATGCCAGTTATCTTCATCAGGAATCATTGCTGCTGCTGTACTGCTTATACTGTTGAAGGTTATTTTACTTCGGGGTGTGAATGTACATTAATTTCCTTACTAAACAGTACTGCATGTTCTGAATTAATATCCTGTGTGGATACTGTGGGAGGAATGTATATGGAAGATTTACACCATTCTCTTCTAGACATCTGACTTAGCTATGACTGAGTCACTCAAGAGAGAGGAGTTAGAAAGATGTTTTGCAACATCTAATGCCTAAACTAGTTCAGGTGACTCCTCCACAGAGTGCAGTAAATGTGAAGTGGCTGCCCTCACTTGAAAAGTAGAAGAGGCTCCTCATACAACTTAGAGTATGCTCAGTGACTTGGGCACTTAACACTCAGGAGCTTGAATAAATTCTGAACGGGCTGTAGTCTATTAGATGCTCTCATTGCATGTTTTTTTCATAGAACAGTTCTAGAGAGAATGTACTTATCAAAGAAAAGTAACATTTGTGTTGTGGCTGTTTGTGTGTTTTTTTGTTGTTTGGTTTTTTTTTTAAACAGGCAGAAGAAGCAGGACTTGCTGTGTCTGTTTTGTTATGTGTGAGAGCCCTTCAGATCAGATCAAACGGAAGTGATGAAATGAAGACATCAGTATGTAAAACAATTGCATGCCTTTTACCAGAAGACCTTGAAGTTAGAAGAGCTTGTCAGCTCACAGAATTTTTACTTGAGCCAACTTTGAGTGGATTTAATGTGTTGGAAGAGCTCTATATGCAACCAGATCAAAAATTTGATGAAGAAAATGCACTGGTTCCAAATTCACTCCGTTGTGAGCTGCTGTTAGCTTTAAAAGCATATTGGCCATTTGATCCTGAATTTTGGGACTGGAAGACTTTAAAGCGACATTGCCTTAAACTGTTAGGGAAAGTAGCTTCTGATTCTGAGGATGATGCAAGTTGTAATATGTCAATCAATGAAACTGACATGTTAGAAACTTTCTTTAGTGACTATGATGAGACAAAAGAACATAAATATTATGATGGAAAAGACACAATGAACCACCCTAAAGAAAAGGCAAGAGTAAAAAAACCGATTGGTTCTTCAGAAAGATACCAGAGGTGGCTTCAATACAAATTTTTTTGTGTGCTCTGCAAAAGGGAGTGTATAGAGGCTAGAATACTGCATCATTCTAAGATGCATATGGAAGATGGTGTTTATACATGCCCAGTGTGTACAAAAAAGTTCAAGAGAAAGGAATTTTTTGTACCACATGTAATGGAACATGTTAAAATGCCACCTAGTAGAACACACAGACCTAAAAAGAAAATAATACTGAAAAAAGAGAGATCACCACAAAAGACGACAGCTTCCAGCAGCCCGCCCCTAGTGTTTCAGGACAAGTCACATCAGCCACAGCTGCCTGAAAACTTGGAAAATGACACACATGAATACGTCACATTTAGCCAACTGGAAAATTGCCAGCTGCAAGACAGAGACATCTATCCATGTCCCGGAACAGATTGTTCTAGAGTATTTAAACAGTTTAAATACTTAAGTGTGCATCTGAAAGCTGAACATCAAAACAATGATGAGAATGCAAAACACTACTTGGATATGAAAAACAGGAGAGAGAAGTGTGCTTTCTGTCGCCGACACTTCATGACATCCTTCCATTTGCGGGAGCATGAACGCGTGCACTGTGGACCTCAACCATATATGTGTGTGTCAATGGATTGTTATGCTAGATTTGGGTCAGTTAATGAGCTTCTCAATCACAAACAAACACATGATGATCTTCGTTATAAATGTGAGCTAAATGGCTGTAATATTGTTTTCAGTGACTTAGGGCAACTTTACCATCACGAGGCACAGCACTTCAGAGATGCATCATACACCTGCAACTTCTTTGGTTGCAAAAAGTTTTATTATTCAAAAACTGAATTTCAGAATCACCTTGCAGTACATAATATTGAAGTGTCAAATGGGGAAGTGAAGCAAACACTAAAACTTGAAGAGTCTGTTTCAAAAGACAAATGCAGTTACCTTCCAGAGTCTCAGCTGCTTGAACAATCTGAAAATTCCAGTCTGAATGGTAACTTGGATCCCTCCGGCCCTCAGGAAGTTCCACAGATTAAGGAGGAAGCTCTCTCTGACAGTGAAGATCTAGACAGTGAAAGTAATTGCAGTCTTCATTGTGGTGACCACAGTGCAGATGCTGCAGTAAACCAAGGCCAAGTGTCTCCTCTACTGGTTGAAACAATGGCTCACAATCAGTCAGTTCCAGGTTTTCTCATGTCCCAGGAAGGAGTCTTCCATCCAGCAGATGTGAAACAACAGTGTTCCAATGTGGCAGTTTGCTTTGATGAAAAAAAACTTTCCTGTGGTTTTGAAGGCTGCTGTTCCACACACAAAAATTCCAGAAGTATGCAAAAACACCTTCGCAGGGCCCATCCATATAACTTTAAAGGTAAAAAAAATATGGAGATGAAAACTAAAGACTTTCTCAGTCTGTTGAGTGATGCTCAGGACACTAAATCCCCTACAGACATTAGTACAGAGTTAGGTCATAATTTGGATACAAATGCTGACTCTCCAGAAAGCTTGTATTGTACTATAGATGGTAAAGGAAGCAATGGCCTGAAGGAAGAAACTTGTCCTTCTTCCCCAGAAACATCTTTTTATGACAGTTCTAAAGAATCAAATATTGAAGATAACATGTTGGAACTAATGTTAGGCTTGAAACATTTAAGCTTAAAAAATTCTAACATTCAGAATTCTTCAAGACACAAGCCTTTTTTGGGCTCTTTACAGTCCTATTCATCTAGGGATGCCAAGTGCCCTGAGTCAGCAGATGAAACTACCTCAAAATTTCAGCTTCAGGAGCAACAAGATAATTTACCCAGCCAGTACCTTACTCAACTGGCAGCTAAACCATTTTTCTGTGAATGTCAAGGATGTACGTGTGAGTTTGTGACCAGAGAAGCCCTCTTAATGCATTATGTTAAAAAGCATAACTATTCAAAGGAAATGGTTCTTCAGTTAAATATGTTCCAGCATCGGTACTCACCATTTAAGTGTCATATTTGCCAAAGATCATTTACAAGAAAAACACACCTTAGAATTCACTATAGAAACAAACATCAAATTGGCTGTGAGAGGGTAGCTCACAAGGTATGTTCTAATGAAAAATTTGATCATGTAGGTTTATGTACAGATGACATGCATAAAAATAGCACTGTTCCAACACCTGTCTGTGCAACCAATGTTGAATTCATTGAACATTCAGACCACTCTGAACAGCTGTGTCATCCTAAAAAGGAAGACTGTAGTTCTGAGACAGATTTGGAGTCCAGCGAAGAGACAGACAATAACGTAACAAGAAAAACATCTAACATAGCTTCTCTGGACAGTCATAGGGAAGAACTGGAAGCAAGACAGGGAAGAGGAAGTAAAAGAACAGTTGCAAAAGGAAACTTATGTTATATATTGCATAAGTACCACAAACCATTTCATTGTATACATAAAAGTTGCAACTCGGCATTTACCAACCAGAAAGGTTTGATACGCCATTATAGAACCGTTCACCAGTATAATAAGGAACAGCTCTGCTTAGAAAAAGACAAAGCAAGAACAAAAAGGGAACTTGTCAAATGTAAAAAAATATTTGCATGCAAATACAAAGAGTGTGGTAAGCGTTTTTTGTGTTCTAAAGCTCTTGCTAAGCATTGTAGTGACTTCCACAATGAACACTTAGAGGATCAAAAACTGCTTTCTGAAGCTGAATCTGCAAGATTTGCTTGTAACCAAGCCCACTGCCCTGCTGTATTTTATACCTTCAATAAGCTTAAACAACACCTAATAGAAGAACATGCCAATGAAGAAAAATTAAACAAAGATTTTGAAATACATTGTGACCTTAATGGCTGTGATCGAATTTTCACAAATTACAGTCACTACTCTCAACATGTATATTTCCGACATAGTGAATATTATGACAGTCTCTTTGGAAATCAGAAAGAGGAGGAAGATAATCAAGATAAAGATAAAAATGAACAAAGTTATTTGAAAGATGGTTTGGACATAAGCAAGCAGAATGGGAAGCAGTTAAAAGAGAAAACTAAAAGAATTAGCAGAAGCAGAGAAAAGCATTTGATGAATTTCAAAACAAAAGAGGAAGCCTTACAAATGTGCGAAGAGAAGTCTAACCAGACCCAGTACCCTTGCATGGTTCAGGGATGTTTGTCTGTTGTCAAATTGGAAAGCAGTATAGTGAGGCACTATAAGCGCACACATCAGATGACCAATATGTATATAGAGCAACGGATTCAGAAACTTGTTGTTTGTGTTAAATGTGGCATAATGATTGAAAAACAGTCCTGCTCCGAAACAGCTTTAGACTTGGATAAAAAAGGTGTAAAAATTAAAGAGGATAAATCAGCTAATCCTGAGTATGTGCAGGAAACTGAAAAACCTCTTGTTCCAAATACTGACTGTGATCCTCAAGATGTAAGCAATGAAGACCAAAAAAGATGTCCATCAAGTAGTGTGAGTTTTGATGCGAGTGCCTTTATGTATTCAGGCACTTTAAAATACAACCACAGTTCAAAGAACACCTGCTTTGAAGAGCATAACATCAGGGAGACAGTTATGTGTAAAACTGAAGATTTTTCTGAAAACAGTGAAAGAGAGAATAGCTCTTATTTCTCCAGCTTACAATTAGAGTTGCCAAGAGAGAAAGACCCAGAAAGATGTCAGCATAGTGCAGTTAATCAAAATGCAAAAAGAAATGTACTTTGTGCTACAAAAGACAAATTTCAGAAGCCTCCAGTGTCCAAACCATTTGATTTAAAGACATATAAACCAATGGGATTTGAGTCTTCTTTTTTAAAATTTATTCAGGAAAGTGAGGGAAAAGATGATGATGATGATGATTTTGATGAGGTAGTAGAATGGGAGTCTCCTGAGCAGCTGCCAGTAGATAAAACCTTGCAAAAAGAGGGAGATGGTCAAGGGGATACACCAGTAAACAACTTTGTAAATGACAAAAATGTAATCATAACCCAAAATAATCATGGGCAGCTAACAGAAATCCAGCCCTTGTTGTCAGAATCGTCATCTGCCCCTTCTTTAGAAAATTTGAGGGCGATCTTGGACAAGGCACTAACGGACTGCGGAGACCTTGCCTTGAAACAGCTTCATTACTTAAGACCAGTAGTTGTTCTTGAAAGATCCAAGTTTTCCACACCCCTCATAGACTTATTTCCAACAAAAAAGGCAGATGAGCTTTGTGTAGGAAGTACGTAAGTAGTTTTGCTTAGAGCAGATTGCCTCCACTACTGCTGTATGGGGAGAACTTCAAATTAGAACAGTAATTGTTACAGAACACACTGTTTAGGTTAGTTTAGACTGTTTAATTCCATGAATGTATAATATCTGTCAAAAGTATTGGCCAAGTTAATTTAACTCCCCATTTTTTTTCAATGGACTAAGCTGATTTTGGTGCTATTTAACACATCAGAATACTGGGGGCTTCCTCTTGAAGAGTAAATATGCATGATTGTATATGGAACAAGTACTAGGGTACCAGGGTTTGGGGGGCGATGGAGTTATTACTTGACTTGAATGTGCACCCTTGGGTGCTTTGTGTAACATATTGTACACTACAGCATCTTATATTTTTTGAGTTATGAGTTTCAATAAATTACAGTTTTTCACCCATTTGATTACTGTACAGTAAATCTTTAACGTGGTTTGCTTGTAATTGAATTTGGGACCATTCTGAGTGCATTGGATAATGCTGCTTAAGTTTTATGCATTTGTAGATAATTTATCAGACTGATGAAACAGTGTAGATACAGAAAAGTAAAGTATTACATTCTATTTTATAATATTCTCTGTGCTTTTTTCAGACTTGAAAGAATTATAATTAGTACAAGCAGAAAGTACTTGCCACTTAGAGATGAGGAAGTCCTAGCTAACTTGCCCTTTAAAGGAAGAAGATGCTTCTGAGAGCGTATGGTACAACCTAAGTGTTTTTGAAGAGTGTTGCTGAACTTCCAAGAGAGTTGTGTCATGTGAAGGTGTCAGTGCACATTTTGGGTTCCCTGGTTAGCTTTTTCAATAATGAATAAAACGTAGCTGGAAAATTCACCAGAAGAGTAATTTAATTTTAAGATCTGTTCTTGCTCTTCTGTGTCTCATTTCTTGCCATACTTCTGGATACATCATGAGGCCCAGAATCTTTCTCCTGTGAGTGGTATCTCCAAATCTCTGTGAGGATGCTAATGAGCAAGCAGCAATCACAGCTTCTTATTGATTGAGGGCTTGGGTTTTGTTGGGGTGTTTTGGGTTTTATACTGTGATCTGAAAAGTAGCAGTGGAACGGAAATGGAGAAAACTTTGGGAAATGTTGCTTAAAACAGACCATGAGTATTGGCTGGGTGCAGGAATGAAGGAGGCTGTCTAAAAACTATCTGGAGAAACTGTGTTATGATCAAAACTAGGCAGAAATGGCATCTTCATACTACACTTAAAAAAGTTATGTGGGCATCCTTAAAATAAAAGATTAAAAGTTGTACACCAAGCAGAAGTGTAGTTTATTGCATATCTCTTCCTGTCATTTCCTTTCTCTAAACTATAAGCTTCTTGTAATGAAAGGAATATGGTGCATGAATCTTCTCACTAGCTCTTAAAAATGGAAGTAAGTTAGGGTCAAAAGGGTTAAATGCTGCAACAAGGTCAGACACCTGAAGTAGCTAAAGTGTGTTCCAAAGTGATTTTTGTGTCTCAAAAAAAAGAAGTCTACCTTTTAATGTCAAGTTTGCATAATGTTCGAACATACTTGAATCTTTGGGATCTCAAAACAGGAAGAGAGATTAACTGCAGACTTAATAAACATGTGATGACTGCTTCAGGTAATGTGCCTGGAGAGATACTGGTACATTACTGGGGTTTTTTTGAGTATCCCACAAAGCAATCTGTCCCCTTCAATGCCTAGAGAAAGAAAACTGGTCAGTGTGAATAGTAAATTCACTGAGGTTTTGAGTCTTCAGTTTCAGGTCAAGCAGCTGTATTTCCACTAGATAAACAGAGCTTCAAATATGACAGTATTAAAGAATTCAAGCATTTAAAATACATACCTTAGCTGAGTCCTAAGAGACCAGTAAATAACTTTCTACATGGGGAATAGCAAAGAGAAATAGATTCTACCAAGGCAAGTATGTGCAGACTTAAAAGGTAGGAGACAATTTTGTGATGACTTCTTAGGCTAGCTGGGTCTTCTTTGAAGGTAACAAGATAGTATGTTCCTGAGACAATTGCATCATGCTGACTGCCACTTCCATCCGTGAGCACACACTGATGGAAATCTACTCTGTGCAAGGATCTAAAGTTGATTTGAGTGACCTGGGGACAACTTGGTTTTCATAAGAAATTTGAAAGGTAACACTTCTACATGTTTATACAAGGCAGAATCCATAAGAAAATTTAAAAACGGGATTTGCTTCCAAGGTGCTGCTTTATGATGTAGAGCAGTTTTTGGTAAATGGGATATTTAAGGTAGTATGTTGCAAATAATGTAATCTTACAGGGTTTTTTTTAATAATAATTTTGGAATAGTTACAATGTCTTTGCAAATCTGAAAGCATTTAAACACAGACTTTTTGCTTTCCATTTTCATTGGCTTAGTTGACAGTTGCTTAGCTGACAGGTGGAAATTTGTTTAACTGAGGTAACAATTCAGTGTAATCTTTATATACACAAGAAAACTTTTCAGAGAAGTTTGCATTTATTCTTTTAGACTTCATTTATACATCATTCACTAGACCTTCCTTTAAGGAATGCTTGAGGTTCTTGGAGAATAGAGCCATTACTGGTTTTAGAAATGCCACAAATGGTACAGCTCCAGTTGCAGATCTGAGCCCCACCCTGCTATTGCCCATACGATATTTTGCACATAGTGTAACCTGAAGCTGAGTAAGGTTTCACTTTAACTCTCTGATCGCAGTTTCCTTTTCTTTACATTTGACTAATACTGAAGTTTGATTGCACTGACATTTTCTTCAAGTTGTTTTCTTTCTTTTTTCTGTTGTTGCCTCTTGGAGTCAGGACTGATAACTTTCTGCTCAATAGGAAGCTATGATCACAGATTCCTAGTGAACAACCTCATGGAGTTTGTGAATTAATTTTTTTCATATATATAATTGAAAAGATTCTGGGACCACAGAAGTTGTCCAGAAATAAGGAACAAAAGAGTTTCTGCCTGGCATGGGTGAAGCTTTTCTGCATAAAAGAAAAACTTTACAAGAATTTGTGTAAGACTGATGGATAAATTGCCATATGAATGAAGGCTTATTTCGAATGTCTGTCTTCTCCAATATACTCGCAGTGCGCCTGTCTACCTGTTCTGACATGAACGTAGGAACAGGTTCACTTACAATTCACTGTCAAAAAGTAGCAATTCAAAATGCAGGTTGTTTGGGGGTACTGTGTGTCCTTGTAGTGTGACTAACAAACAAAATAAAATATGCAGTGGTGCAGCCTTGCCTCTCTGTTTGGAGCATAGCTTCCTACTTCCTTCTGTCAAGCTCCCAAATTATGGATCATTTTAAAACTATGAATGAGTGTGCATTTCTTGTATACTGTTCGTATAAGCTCTGCTGCAAACTTGTGACCAAAGAACTCTACAAAAATCATACAAATTTACCTTTATACAATCCTACTGTGTTTAAGCTGTGTATTAAAGTTCTTCAGTGTTCAGCTTTCCTATTAAAAAAAACTAATCCTGCCACTTGTTGTATAAACAAATTTGCATATTAAGCATGAACTGTGTGGCAGTTGTAGTTCTGTAATCCCACAGATCAGTTGTGTGAAACATTTTAATTCCTCGAAGGTATTCTGCTCTTACAAAATAAGAGTTACTGCATGCATGTAAATTACCACCGCTATACACAGGGCAAGCTTTTACAAACTCCATCTGAAGTATTTTATAGATCCTGTTGAGTAGGCTGCTGCTAACTTAAATTACTGCTATTTCCATAGGCTTGAATGTAATGCAGGATAAGACACAGACGTTGTTACTGTCTGTCAGGTATGGAGACGGGTCCTGTGATATTCTTCAGTCAAAGAATTAAATTTACAAAGTGGTGAGTGGGTTTTCCTCAGTGGTTGTACATGAGCATCGTAGAGGCGTTTTCCTGTGGTGATGTGGCATCCCATGCACTACTGGGATTTTTAATCCTGTGGTCTCAGGTTATATTCATATTTCTGTTGAAAGATACCAATGTCGCACCAGTCTATCAGCTGCTTCCTAATTACAGAAATAATGTCTTGCCCATTTCAGATACTGAGAGTGTGTTCTGAATGCCACTTTATCATCTACAAAATGTGCTACTGTCTCACTGAGGTAAAAGCTGTTACACCATCAAAACTACACAGTTTTAATCCACATCCTGACACTGATTTCTTCTTGGGCTTGTTTATCTGATCTTTCGAATTGCCTAGCACTGGTGGGTATCAGGGAGGGAGGCCACAAAAGGGCAAAGGTCTGAAGTTATGAGTTTTTACTGTCTATTTCTGTTTTCATGTCATCAAGTAGGCCATCATTTTTCCTTCCAAGTGCTACCAGAACTTGTCTTACAGTGAAAATGTAGTATTTCCAGCTTCTTGCTTTCAAACATACAGGAGAAACATTTTGTTCCGCAGTAAAGGAACAGCATCGCATTGACTTCCTAAAAGAGGATTCTTGCTGTAAACAGCCAATACCTGAGAAAACATAGGTGCAAGTTTATAATCATGGTATGTTGCTTCCATTTTTTAAATTATTGTCTTCAGGTGTGTGGATTTTGTAGGAAAACAACATGTTTATTGGTTGTGCATGCCTAAATTCCCCAAGGCTGTGGGCTGCCCTGCCATGTTCCCATGGGTAGTAAAAAAACTGCAAATACCATTATGAAGAGAGACCTTCTAGGCTGACTTCGTACTTCTGGCAGTGCTCCCAGCAGAGCCAACGGGTTAGTTCAGTGTTTTACTTGTGTGTTGTTTTCTGGCTGTCTTTGTTCAAGATCTTTGAATTTTATGATGCTGATAAAGCCTTGTGACACTATTTCATAAATTCTGCATCTTGACTGCAGTGAATTATTTGAGGGAAATTCAATTTCTAGTTAAGTCCTAGCGTGTCTTGTGAAGAATCTGAGCATGGTTATGGTAGAGAGCAGGGGAGGCTTAAAATGAAACCACCTTGCCTTTGTCTGGCCCTGTCAGGTGCTGAACCTGTTCTCCTCCATCTCCCCTAAAGTTTACAGCTG